TAATACAAAAAGATATCTGTTTAGGTCAATACGATTCAATTGTTCTTCCAGTGCTGAAAAAGTCTTTGAACGTTTTTCTTTATACTTAAGACATGTCTTTACCTATCAAAACAAAACATGTTTTCCGCAAATTTTGCTCTCGCATATAATTTTCATAACATAACATTAAATATAATATCAGGGAATACTTAGAATGAAATATGTAGCACCAAAAGATTGATAAGCACTAACAAAGCTAAATCATAATTTCAAACAAGTAACCCAATACAAGATACATTTACATAACAGTATCTTGTTTTCTTCTACTGGCAACTTGAAAAGGTAAAGCAAAAACTACGGATAATATATTATCATTGCAAAAGAGCATTCAATATAGTATAAATGACGGTTTAAAAAGGTCTAGGTAAGTAACATTAACAATGTTTGAAGTGAAAAACCAGACTAAATTAAGCTCAAAACTATTTCATTAAAACCGAGAGGTTATAAAAACATGCCAAACGTTTCGACACAGTCTAGTGTCTTCCTTATTGACTACTGCATGGTGTGGTCGGTAGGTTTGTTATTGGGCGATACTTAAAATCCAGTGTGGATTTATGCAAACCATGATTCGATATTTCTGGAACAAGGTAAGAGAGCGGCTTCCAAACATAGAAAAATTAAAGAGACAATTGGCAATAATAATCAAATACAATCAAACCACGAAGATGGCCTCAGAAAATGAAGAAAAGCTCTTGCAATTACAGACACTTTAAACAATGATATAGAAGGTCCATCTAGGAAACTTTCTGATTAAAATGATCTTGAAACTGTGCCATAAACTGCTTAAGAGATTCACGTGTCACTCTACAAGTAGGACACGTGTTCAATAGTCCCCAAGAAAGTTTTTTCAATACACATAAAAAATTATAGAGGTCAACAAACCAGTCTTATGCAATATGTAGTTCAAATGACAAATATTAAGACGTAAATGATTAATTATGATGTTTTATAGACGGTGCTGTAATATAGCGAGATGTTTATGCGATGGAAAACGAATTAATGAATATGTGTGATAGGACCTCAGGCACGAAGAAAGAAGGCTTTGAGATAACAAGTTCTGAAATATGAGGTACTAAGTGGAAACACAGCAGAAGAACCATCAAAAGAAAGTGCCACTTTAACTGACTTATCTGCAAGCTCATTACCAGAGATGGTACTGTGACTAGGAAACCACACACAGTGAATTTGAAGACCACTTCGAATAAGGTGGTTATAAAGAAGTAAACGTGAAACCCTTGATTGCGAAATTTTAACAAAAGAAGATCACTTAAGAAAAAGTCATTAAAAATATCAATATGTGGAAAAAGATGTGCTGAATCTTCTAACAAGAAAAAAACAAAACAAGATAAGGCCTAAGAGCTCTGCAGTAAAACTGCAGCTGAAGTATTGCAAACAATAAGACAAGTATTCATTCAAAATTTGAATGTAAAAAGTACAGGTAGATTTTTGCACTAGAAGGTTCATAAGGACCATCTGTATATGCACATGAAGAGTTATGGACTCAGATATATAAGCTTAACAATTATGAAGGAGGTTTATTTTGTGTGACAACTCTGTAAGGTACAGATCCACATTGACTTCGGCAAGAAGCCACGAAAGTGGGAACCACGATAAGACTTGTGAATCCAGTAGAAGGTAAAGAAAACTTCAAAATGTGAAGCAAGTGTCTCTGTACATACCAATGAAATGGGCCGTGGTGCAGGGTCCCAGTTATAGTGAACAGGGTAAAAGAAGCGATCAAGGAATGTCTCTATATGAACCCATGTAACGGTTTCCACTTTCTTATGGGTAACTGCCGTATATCTAGATTTTAATGGGGAATAGAAACTCCCAAGTATTGTATGGGACACAGAAACAATTGAAAAGAACAACAAATGAAAGACAAGCTGCGTTCCTCTTTCCAAATTCAAATATAACTTAAAGATAAGACCGGCTTGAACTACATTGAACCCTTATTTAAAAAAATTAAACAAATTAAAAGACATTTAATTAAACTTAATATAGAAATTCTATCGACCTCGCACACCTTTAAGTTATTTTTAGTCCATCCAAAAGACATTATCCAACCCAAATACAAAACCAGTATTCTGTAAACAATTCCTGTGAAACATGTTATAGAATATATTATGATGATACAGATCGAAAATTAAATACGCTTATTAAAGAAAGAAAAAATTATATTATTAATCTTAACACAGCACATTCTTACACATAATCACATTCCATACTGGAAATATAATAAATTCATAGCTATACTCCATTCCAAATTTCAACGCATTCTTTATGGGTCATTGCGTATCCCAAAAAAGAAAAATCACATGGCCATTGGTACCAGTATAAGTGTGACATCAGAATATCACGTGTTTTATACTAATCGCATTTAATCACCTGTAATCCACAACACGAAATAGCCACTGAAGAAGACAACAGGCTATCGAAATGTTTGGCAGGTTTCTAACCACTTAGTTTAACGAAAGTGTTTTAACATTTTGTGTTTTAAACTTAATTTTGTATGGTGCGTCACTAAAAAGGTTGTTAATTCAATACAATAGTTATTTTAGAATCCAGTTCGATTCAACTGTCTTCGAAAGCTTCAACTTTTCATGCTGTATTATCAGATATCTTTAGAGAAACGGTTGAAATTTTCATTAATATTAACTGTGAGGGTAAACAACTGTAAAGATTCAATGCAATGTAACTATTATGAGGTTTTAGTTCTGTAAATACTCAGTAAATATATAAATATATAGTTACTCATGCTATAACCATAAATTATTGTCGTTTTAACTTTAATGACTAGTCATTCAAAGTATGTTGTAACAATTATATTGTAAATAGTTTCATTGAAATTGTAAATACTACTAACTAATTTTTCTCCCTGATCTATATCTTATGTAACTTATTTTTATTTTAAATACAAGAAAAACGTTATTGTTTATTTGTAGAAATTAATTATCAATCGTAAATCGTACATCAATGATAAATATTAAATGCCCAACTTAAAATGTAAGGCACAAGTAAAAATGCTAGGCACTTTTAGATATTTGTTTTCTAAATATGAAGGAGTAAAAATCTAATATAATATTTATTAGCTTTAACGTCATCTAGGTATCAACATAAGATAAAGGCTTATGAAGGCACAGGTTAGGATATAGGCACTTCTACGATTTTTGCTATCAAAAGTAAAATCAATAATGAATATCTATAGTCTCTTTTGCCAATTCTAATGTTGGTGACAAAAACGTTATATAAAATAGCTAAGTAAATGAAAGCGAAGAACATGTGATTTTATATTTTATTATTTTCAATATTGTACACTTTGTAGGATGTTTCTTATAATCATATTCCTTGTATAGTGAAACATTACACCTAGGCATTTTCTACATCTAAAACTATACAAACTTCCATTGGGTAAAAATTCTATCATCAATTTAGCTTAGCTCCTGAGAGCAGACAATTGTTGAAAAGTATTTCATAGGTGGTAATGGTATAGGATTTACTGCCTAATATTAGGTGATAATGGTATGGGATATGCTGCCTAATATTAGGTGGTAATGGTATGGGATTTACTGCCTAATATTAGGTGATAATGGTATGTGATTTACTGCCTACTATTAGATAGTAATGATATAGGATTTACTGCCTAATATTAGGTGATAATGATATGGGATTTGTTTCCTAATATTTGTTAGTAATGGTATGGGATTAGCTACTTAATATAAGCTTGTGTTCTTTAATTTGAAAATTTACAACACCGAGAAGTAAAGGTGAAGTACCTTTAGCATGAAAACTGGATAGTCTCAAACTCTTTTTCAGAAACAAAGAGTCTAAAGATGTGTGTGTTTCTAATAATAACACCGAATTACTTTTGGTGTTGCGACTAAATCGGCCTGATAAGTTTTGCTGTTGGTAAAAAAGCAAACGTAGCAATATTCAATACATAGAAAATCCAATCTCTTCCCCTAGTTCAAACTCGGACAATGAAGGATGAAGGAAATTATTTGCAGTGTTTTGTAACGTTTCTTCATACTTCAACTTCAAAAGGACTTTCAAACTTTTGTGGTTACATAAAACGACAAAACTAGACTTGTTGTAAATACTCAAGTCATTTAAGTGACAATATTAAACATATAATATTCAAAAGAGATGTTTGTGAATCGTCATGAATAAAGTATAAGATTTCAAAAGACAAATAAATTAACATACGAAATGATATTAAACTTTCTTTTTTTTTTGCATCATAAGTTTCATAAATATCCAACAGGTAGCGTCACCTGTACAAGTGGAATTTGAGAAACAAAAGCAAGTTAGATACGACAATGATAGATAAATAAATATTTATGTGTATATTTTTTAAGAGTAAAAGTATGAAAAGCTATAAGATAACGTGTAAAATAATTGATTATTCATGAATACAAATTTCTGTGTCAAATTAAGAAGACAGACGGCATAAAACTTACTAGTACTATAAAGTGAAATAAATTTGAAAAGTGCATATTATTAGTTTTTGTGAATTTAATACACCGTCTAAGATCAGATCAGCTTTTATGTCATATATTGACATTTAGTATATTTGATAATAAATAATCACTGAATTACCTACAATTACCTATGTTTTTATCTGTAAGTCTACTTCTTTATATAATAATAATGAATTGTTCGAAAATATATTTTACATTTATGTTTAATGTTTCGTGTTTTAACAAATGCATAAAAGTATATAGACTGAAACACATACATAGCTGACTCACAATTAGACACAACAGGCGGCTGACTAATCTTTTCAGAGCAAGTAAATACCTTCACATGTTGTGTTCGTCATCTTGCTTGCAACAACATATACTAGATTTTTTGTCTTAGATTCACCTCTGTTCACAAATAATGTGTACAAGCCCACCTTAATCTTGTAGGTCAGGTAAAATATCATAATTCACTTTATATTTTACAGAATAGAACCCTCATTATTGCATCCTGACTTCTTGTATTTGAGGGGCATAGGATACAGGAAATACAGTTGGGGTTCCTCCATGAAGAGGTTGCGGGAGTGGGTAGACATAAGGAGTAGTAGGTAGAAAAGGGTTCCCTCCATGTCCGGGATGAGGAGCCGGAGTTACTGCCGAAATCGGATAAGATGTATCCAACCCATTTGTATACTGAGCAGGGAACGCCGTTGCGTAATCATAGAAGTGAGCGGTTGCTGCGACCGCAGCAGCCGGAGAAAGCGGAGTGTGCGGTGACACGATCAATCCCGGAGTAGCAGGTAGAAAAGATGAAGGATACACATATTGGGCAGGGAAACTGAAATAAAGAAAAATAGATTTTAAGTAGGTGAAATAATGTATTTAGTTCCTGAAAAAAGTTTTAAAAATTAATATTACCAGATAAAAGCTAAGCTAACGATGGAATTACGTAAGGATACATTCGACAAAAACAAAAATACAAATTGGTAAATCAAGTAAAAATCTATAGACATTGTTTTAACAAGTGTATTCGCTTTGGATAGTATTTAGTTGTATGAAACTAAATAGACTTCATATTAATATCTTTCATCTTTATTCCAGACTGCCATTTTTCTTTCATTTCAGAAATGAAAGTATAAGCAAATACATAAACATTAAAAAAAAAAGTCAGGAGATAAACAATAAAGATAAGACAGAGAGATAAATACAAACATTAGATACAGCGATGAAAAACAAGGAAGGTACGCAGGCAGACAAAAATATAATGAAAGAAACAGAAAACGAAATTAGGTTACATTAAAATTGATAGACAGATATTTAGACGGATGAAAATGGAAATGCAAATTACACAGAAAAAATGGAAACACGTGAAATGACTAATAAAGAAATAGCCAAACTGGTAACAGTACTATAGACATGGATTTAGTGAGAAACAGGTCAGAGGAATAGATAACTTTTTGTTTCTAAGAAACGTTTATTTCAGTTTGTGTTTTTATACTATAGATGTGAATGAAATCGGCATTTGAAATATGTATATAAATCATACAAAAAATGAAGTTTTCTTAACATACGATACATTTGTCTGCGAACCCCTTTCGGAACACTGGAAAAATAAATTAGTATGGGGTATACAAAAAATTTTAAATGACATTGTTAAACTATATCCAGCAGTAGGACAGCTAACTGTCTGGGTAACAGTGAGACAAATAGTCTCCGGCTCTTGTAGTCTCTGGGTCGTACTTAAGCAAGGCATAACACCCATTAGCTTCCCTTACTAGGGTCACAGTTGAAGCTGCTGTGGGTACAGGACGGTGGATCATCTCGTCTGACGGATGTCTAGTGCAACCGGGACAACGGTAGAATAAACTTGCTCAAGTTAGTTGAGAACTCCCACCAGTAGCAAGCAATTGCAACCTACTACCGTATTTTGCCAAGCATAATCAATGGTCCTTCACAAATCAAGGAAATTCACAACAGCGTGAAGGGGTCCCTGAAGGACACCTCGCCCGGTGAGGAAAGTCATGTGCGATAGATAACTGTCAGCATGCTACTGTCCGCATCCAGAAGACAGCAGTCAAAGTGGTAACGCAGAATGTGAGGACTCTTCACCAAATTTGAAAACTGTTTAATGTCAAGCATAAGATGATGAGATTACGGATACAAATTCTAGGTCTGTGTGGAATATATTAGAAAGATACTGGAATTATTGTTTCAGAAGATATGGAGATAATATATTCAAGAGGTCAAATGCACGAAAAAGAAGTTGAGTGATTTTGGACGATAAAACCTCAAAGTGTTTTCATAGATATTGGCAATATCTGAGAGAGTGATGCTTGGGATAATAAAGGCCTAACCTTTCAACATTGTAATGATATAAATTTATGCACTGACAGTTGAAAATGAGGAAGAGGACATTGACCGTTACTATGAAGACCTTGATAAAACGAAAAAGCAATCCAAACCTCAAGAAGTGGTCACAGTGATGGGAGTTCTAAATGAAAAAAAAAATCTGGTTGTAAGCGAGTGGATAATATTGTTGGACCGCATGATCTTGAAGAGAAAAATGAAAGAGGAGAGAAATGTATTGCGTGGTGTGTCATTACGAAGACATTGCTTGAGCACCACCCGGAAAGAAGGTATGCATAGAAAAGTCCTGGAGATAATGTTACAACCTAAATTAATGATATTACCATCAATAGAAAATTCAGTAATGCAGTACAACAATCGATCTTTACCCAGGGACTGATTGCAGAAGCGACCATGTCTCTGTAGTATGTACCATCAAGATAATGTTGAGGAAATTTAAGAAGCCAAAAGCGATAAATAATCTTGATTATACAATTTTATTGGAAAATAATTTGATTAAAAAAAGGTATATAGTTGTAGTTAAAAATCATTTTCAAAAACTTGAAGATGAAAGAAATATATCAAAATGAGAAATGTTTAAAGAAGCACTAGTTGAAACAGCCAAAGAGGATATTCCATTAAAATTCAAGCAAAAGAAACAGAAACTGTTAATGGAAGAAATTCTTGAACTCATGGAACATAGAACATTATAAGAAACTGGACAAAATAATTCGATCAATGCGCAGTGAAGGAAAAAAAATAGTTTAATAAAAAAACGTACAAAGACAGAAAAACAAAATGATAAAGATGTTGCATCAATGTCTAGGAATATCAAATACATCACAGGTAAAGAAGATGCACTGTTAGTGGATGTATAAAAGCTAAGAATTGTGGTGTAATTATGGAACGAGAACAAACACTAAAAAGAAGGACTAAGTATATTGAAGATTTATTCTTAAGTCAGAGTACGAACAGTTACCAACAGAATGAAAACCCATATAGCTACAAGACCAGATGAAATTGCAGTAGAACAAATATAATATCTGGAATAATTTGGTATAGAATAGTTAACAACTACTATCAGTGAGATTTGTGAAAGTTGTGAAATACCTGAGTATCTCAGTAAATCTATCTTTATTGCGTTCCATAAAAGACTTGGAGCCATTGAATGTGAACATCATCGAACCATCAGTTTAATGAGCCATGTGACAAGGATCCTTTAAAAGTGTTGATGATAAGAGGTAGAAGACCGAATATTGCAAAAGTTCAACATGGTTTTACTGAAAATCGTAATACAAGAAGTGCTATCTTTGTGGTATGAATGCTTTCAGAGAGGACAAAAGAAATGAAGAAAGACTCTTACTTGTGCTCTATTGATTATGTCAAAGCTTTTGATAGAGTCAAGTTAAAGAAAATGCTGAAAGAATTGGACGTTGATGGCAATATCTTGAGAAATTTAAGAAACCTCTATTGGGATCTAACCGCGGTGGTGAAGAAAAAGCATGAAATAAGTGATTTCATCCAAATTTAGAAGAGGCGTGAAGCAAGACTGCCTTTTCATCTGACATTTTTCATTTGTACAGTAAGAAAATCCTGAGGGAGATTGAAGATTTAGTAGGGCCGATCATTGGCGTACAGAATTTGAACAACTTCCGTTATGCTGATGATGCCGTTTTAATAACTGATTCAGACGAGAAAATGCAAATACTTTTAAATAATGTTGTTAGTAAAAGTGAAAAGAATGGTTTAAGTGTCAACTGTAGGAAAACAGAATGCACGGTAATTACATAGAAGGCGATCATTCCTGTATGCATTGTCAAAGTAGGTAAGGAACAGATAACGCAAGTCAATAAATTCAATTACCTGGGAAGCTGGATAACATCAGATGGTAAATGATAATGAAATAAAACGGAGAATAGGCATGGCAAAAGGCGCATTTCTGAAGGTGAGAAAGATACTGACAAATAGCAAAATTTCTATGCGACGAAGTTAAGAGTTTTGGATTGCTATTTATACCAATTTTCACACATGCACCAAAATGTTGGACGATTTCGTCAAGTATTGAAAAGAGAATTGGAGCAATTGAGTTGTGATTCTTAAGGTGCATCTTGAAGGAGTGTTGGGCAAATCACACCTCAACTGAATATATTTTGTCAAGAGCAAGTTGCAGGAGGAAGTTTTGACTAGTATCAGAGGGAGAGAGAATTAGAGTTCTCGGACACGTTATGAGGAAAGAAGAAACCGTGGAAGACAGAGTATCCAAATGGATGAATGTATCGACATTAGAAATTCTTTGTGTTTCAAGAAGAGATCTGTGAAAGACCATGGTCACCAACAACCTGTTTCGATATGGCACTTTCCAGCGTATGAATAATTCACAAAGTATTTTTCCTCTTTGTTTATATTTTTTGAAGAAAGGCTTTCGTAAAGTACTGTAGAAATTTTAATTAACTGAGATAATGTTTTGTGGATTCGTTTTATGTTTGATCAATATTTCAGGATTCGATGTATGTTGTACGAAACTTTTGAATATTATTCTCATAAAATGTTCCCAGAGGTTTCTTCGTAGACCGTTAAGAGTATTACTAACTTGAAAATGTCAGTTGTACAGAAACAAAAAAGCTGCCTGTTGGTCCTTTCATATTATTTTTCTCATTATATTCTTTGATTTAATTGCACACTCACACATGTATATAACTAAATATAAATTAAAATAATTTTCAAAATGAGAAACAACATCATTTTGCTGAGTTCTTTGATTATCTGTATTGTCATGCGTAATATAAAATATATATTTTGAAAGTTTAGTAAAACACCTATCTTAACCAACATCAAACACAATTCAAATCACACATGTACAACACATACTCAATAAATATACTCGAACATTTTGTCCTGCGTGAATACACAGGACATAACAGTTTTCCAGATACATATGGTTTTGCTATGACGATGTACAAATGATTTTGCTCTCATTTTAAAAATGTTACTATGAAACCTGTAAAATTTTGCGAAAAATGGATTCTGTAAGTGTGGTAGCATTAATATCAGAAACCTAAACCTGTGTTTTATAACTATTTGAAATACTTATTTATTACCATTTTTGGGTTAAAAAGTAAATAAAGCAGTTGGGATAAAAAAATATGTTGAAAACATAAACATCTCTCCTATGAATACCAGTTAACATATGAAACACAAAAACTACAAATCGTAGAAATATCTACTAATTAAGCTGTAAGTGTGAAAAATAACTGAATAAAATAATCTGTGTAAAATAAAAATTAAATGAATAATGCTGTGTTGTTAATTCTTACAATAAAATTCGGTTTGTAAAGGGCTTAAATAAAGTGTATGGTAATTACAATTCACTTGCTTGATCTGATTCACATACTAATAGTTATTGTTCATGAAAACTGATTATATATATAGCGCTTTACAATACTATTATGTCTATTGTTTCTCAGCCAACCTGATGAGCCATGGTATTGGGAG